TCCTACACCAGTGGTGCCAAAGATGTCCCCATGAGGGGACCAGATGCTCCCACAAAGGGGAACCAGACATGTAAAATCAAGGATCTTGGTGTAGTGACTTTACTGCATTCAGTTTCCTTTTTCTCAAAGTAGATGAAGGTAGATTACAGTGCAGGGAAGGAAGGTGGGAGTTCCCTGAAGCAAAAGGGGTTTCAGCAGCTGCTGGGAGTCCCTCAGTCCCTCCCCTCACTTACAGGAGTAGCTTCTCTGGTTCAGTTTGACCTCAGGCACATCTCCTAACTTTCCAGTAGTCAGCTATCAAAAAGTTCACCTTACATCCTTGGCAGCAAGTACAGTGCTTTGGAGTGCCAGGCCTTCCCAAGAAAGCGGAGCAGGGTCTGCTCTGCGGTCCCACCTAGGGTGCCAAAATTTGTAACCAAAAGTTTGGTCCCTGTCCTTAAAGGCAATTAAAGCCAATTTAATAATGAAGACACAGTTTTGAGAAAAAGGAAAAAGAAGGTTTATTGCTTTGCTAGCAAAGGAGAAACACAGGGGACTCCTGTCCCAAAGGCTATGACCCTCTTGATCAGGAGGGACAAGGGGTTTTAAAGGAATTTTTTAAGAGTTATATTTCAGTAGAGGTTCCCAGAGCGCCCTGATGGTATGTTATTTCACTTGTTAATTCGGGAGATATTCATTTCCCAGATCCCCAGCTGGTATCTCCCTACTGCAGTGGGTGTGCTCAAGCCAACTATGGGGAGGAAAGATAACACTGTCTTCCTAATCCTGAAGGGGGATAAAGTTTGTCAAAGTTCCTTAAAACACAGCTCAAAGGAGTGTCAGGATTACTTGCCTTATTTTGATGTTCAGTTACCTTAAATTTATACCAGAGAAGATACACAACAAAAAGGCAGAGAAAAAACGTAGAACACAGAATGAGACACAGGGGAACAAGAGCCAGGTGCCAAAACCCAGGGAGCAGTGCAACCTCTTGCTAATCCTCCAAACAGGAGTGCGTATATGCCTCTTCAGACAACTCTCTGTCCCCACCAGAGCAGAGGACAGTGCGACACTTTGCTACCGTCCTACACAGGAGTGTGTATTTGTCTGGCCAGACATCTCATTGTCCCCAGAAAAAATTCCTCACCAGGCCAATACCAGAGGACAGCGAAACAATTCACTACTGTCCAAGACAGAAGTGTGTATGTGCCTCACCAGGCACCTCACTGTCCCCAAAAGAGATCTCTCTTAAACCCAATACCAGATGTTATGGGGGCACCACTTACTTATGGAGGCTCCTCCATTGGATACTTGCTACTTGTTTTACTGTGTCAGTTCACTCCAGCGATTTGATGAGCCTAAGGCACAACCAGGGGCCTTGGAACATCTCAAGGTGCGCACCCCCTGGGGTGGCACTCCACCTGGAGTCCCAGAGTGAGGGTCCAGCTTCAGAATATTGATGGTCTGATCTTGCTGGGGCCACCAAACGTTGAACCACAACACAAAGAAAAGACCACTACCTCCAATTTTAAATCAAATTAAAGCAAGCTTATATTGTGTACACAGCAACTGTCTCACCCAAAGCTAGGCTACAGGACAGCCCCCCAGCTCTCCAGGAAAAAGGTTTTACAGCACAAAAAGTTACAAAGTGGGGGATGTCTTGGGAACTTACAGCTAACAGGAACTTACAGCTAACAGGATTCTGGCAAGCATAATACAAAGGCAGATAGCAGGTTAGTGAGCTCCATGGCTTAGCATTTCAAGGTAGGGAGTAAATTAAAATTCCAACATCAGAATTTATGAGGTGCTGTTGAGTTTTAGGGAGTGTTGTTATCTGGTCAAGGAGAGCCAGGCATGAGTGAGTTTGGAATTGAACAAGATTAGCCCTCAGAGCATGGTCAGGCCAGATAAATATCTTAATAAAACAGAAATGAACTTTTTATAACTTTGTGATGAGATGGCTCCCCATCTTAGGATAGAATTAGGTTGGTTTTATCAACACTATATTCAAGAAACTGGGGTTGGGGAATCACTCTATAAACTAACTATGTGATAAGAATGCACATTACAATATAAAATCATCTATATGTAGTAGTTAGCTGCAAGAAACCATTCTTAGCTTAGGAAAATGGTGTTCCAGGTTTCAATGTAAACTACTAGCAACCTTTAAAGTTTCATGTGGTAAATATCTAATTTCTATTTTCAAGCTCTTCCACCCCAGCCTGACTCACAAGATCTTAGTATTTTTCTCCAATCACTGATGTGACCTCTAATATCATCAATTCTTGCAATCCTCTGATAAAGTCTGAAATGTATCTTGCATTCATTGCAGGAGCATGTGCCTACCAAGGTAAGATTTTGCATGACTTTGGAGTCAGTCTTGGCCATCTCTCTAATTCCTAGTCTGGTGATATCTCAGACTATCACCTGTATACCATTTGGGGGGAGGGTGTAACTGGGGATTTAACCCAGGGACACTTTACCTCTGAGTTTAATCCCCATATTTTTTATTTTTTATTAAGTCAGAGTCTCATTAAGTTGCTAAGGGCTTCACTAAGTTGCTGAGACTGGCCTTGAATTTTCGATCCTCCTATCTCAGCCTCCTGAGTTGCTAGAATTATAGGTGTTCACCCTGGCTATATTCCGTGTGTGTGTGTGTGTGTGTGTGTGTGTGTGTGTGTGTGTGTGTTG